GTGCCACTAGCCTAACAGTGGCTGGAAAGAAGCTGTTAAACAGACGGGCCTTGTGGGTACTAATGCTCACAGGCCTGCGGTATCTCAAGTTATAGCCTGTGTCCACCCATTTAAACAAAGCATAAGCTGGGTGGTGTTTGTCCTTAAGGATGCTCTTTGCTTTCCTTCTACAGCGCTGGGTGTATATAATATCCATGGAGGGGAGGTTAGAGCCGATAACCCTCTCTGCAGTTTTAATGACCCGTTGCAGTGATTTCCTCTCAGCCAGGGTGGTGTTACCATACACACTGTGATACCACTACTGAGGATACTTTCAACAAGGCCTCTGTAGACATGGGTTAGAGGTTGACATTGAAGTCTGGCCTTCTTCAAAACTCTGATGAAATGCAGCCTCTGCTGAGCTCTTTTCACTGTTGCCACAGTGTTTTTAGTCCAGCTGAGGTTTTCTGAGATTTTTAGTCTTTTAGTGTTTTTAGTGCAGCTGAGCCCTGTGGGGCTCCTGTGCTCACTGTAAGCTCAGCTGAGACCTTCTTTCCCATCCTCACCACCTGTGGCCTGTCTGTGAGGAAATCTGTTATCCAATTACAAGTGGTCGTTGGTACTCCCAGTTCTATCAGCTTACCGGTCAGCTTCATCGTCCGGATCGTATTAAAGGCGGAGCTGTAATCCAGAAACAATAGCCGTACATATGTATTATGAGTGTCCAGGTGCTGCAAAATATAGTGAAGTGTCAGTGCCACCGCATCATCCACAGACCTGTTCGAGCGGTAGGCAAACTGAAGAGGGTCTACTGTGTCTGGAACCACAGAATTGATATGTTGAAGGACCAGCCTCTCCATACACTTCATGGCAACCGATGTGAGCGCCACCGGTCTAAAATCGTTCATTGTCATTGTGTTTGTTATTTTCGGAACCGGCACTATAATGGAGGACTTAACAATACGTGGGACTGTTTCTTAGAGGAGAGAGGTGTTAAAAATGTCCGTGTACACCTCCGCCAGCTGTTCAGCACAAACTTTAAGGACTCTCTGGGCCACACCATCAGGTCCCACAGCCTTACAGGGGTTCACCTTTCTCAGAGCTTTAAGGACCTGTGAGTGCGTCACCTGCAGTACAGTCTCCTCTGAGTTATAGGGGACTTTTAAGGGTGTGTCTCTGTTGTTTTGGTCGAATCGGGCATAGAACTTTTTAAGGTTGTCCAATAGAGAGGAATCTTGAATCACAGTTCTCTTTGCATCTTTCCTGTAGTTGGTGACTGACTGGATTCCTTGCCACATCCTTCTGGTGTTATTTTCCCTGTAACAGTTCTCGAGTCTCTTGGTATATGCCCTCTTGGCGGCCCTGATGGATTTTTGGAGCTCATATCTGGCATGCTTATACTCCATGGTGTCTCCTGATTTGAAGGCTGTACTCCGGTTTCTAATTTTGATACGTACATCCGCATTAAACCAGGGCTTCTGATTAGGGAGAACTCTAATAGTTCTGGAGGGGATGCAAATGGAAGTGCACCAGTCAATATAACTGCTAACAGTATCTGTATATTCATGGATATTGTCTGTGGCTTCCCTAAAAATGTTCATATCTGTGGCCTCCAAACAGCCCTGCAGTTCCACCAAAGTGTTATCAGTCCACATATTCACAGTTTTAACTGTGTCTGGGTCTGCTTTAAGCCTCCTAATGTAAATGGGCTGAAGCAGAATAGCAAGGTGATCACATTTCCCAAAATGCGGCTTGGAGACCGCAGTATAAGCACTTCTAATATTGCTGTAGCATTTATCCAAAGTGCTATAAGTTAACAAACTGATTAAATCTGGGAATAGTTTTTCGGAGGTCACAATGATTAAAATCTCCTAAGATCACTATAGCAGCATCTGGATATGAGTTTTCGTGCCTCCTGATCATATCGTGCAGTTCTTTAAGTGCATTATACTCGTTAGCCGCAGGAGGAATGTACACTGTGCTTAGTATAACGCCGGCCTATACACTGTGCTTAGTATAACGCCGGCCTTTGCTAACCAGTCGGCGGAGTCTTTGTCCCCCTCCTCCTCGACTACCACGCTTCCGTGTCAGCCTCCCGGTGCCAGAAAGTCCCCGTTGTGGCCTGGCCTGGCGTCACTCCAGCATGGAGATGTAGCTCCGAGAAGGAGTTGAGAACATTTGTTTCAAAATGACCTCTATAACTCAGTTCTCCTAGTTGAAGCAGAGTCACTCGATCATACTTAACATGTGCTCTAACATACCTCACATGAAATTAAACATTTAATGTTAAATGGCAGCCAAAGTTAAATGAAAATCTATTATGGTTTCACACAGTAACAACCTTGGTGTAAAGCCCAATTTATACTTCTGCGTCGACCTCCCGCCGAAGCTACGTCGTAGGCTGTGTGTAGCGCGTGTAACCTTCGGCGTACCCTGACGTGCACCTCTCCAAAAATGTAACTACGCGGACGCAAGCGCTGTGATTGGTCTGAACCGCTCCCTCGGGTTTCACATGTTCCCTCTGCGTGCATCAACGCGGATAACGACGCAGAAGTATAAATTAAAACCAACGCGTATGTCTTTGTTTATGTTGGCCATGTGCTCCTTTTGTCTTGCGTTTCTGAATTTGATTCTGCAGCACACAAAGATGTTCCTGAGTCTCTTCCAGCAACCCCTAAGGGCATTCCCGAGTCACTCCCTCAGGACGCTCCTGAATATAATTATGCAGCACCCAAGGGCCTTCCAGAATCCACTTCAGTAGCCCAGAAGGGGCCTTCCAAGCCTGCCTTTGATGTTCCCGAGGGCATTCCAGAGTCAGTTATTGAGAAATTCACCTTCCCTGTCAGTGCAGTCATCGCTCCTGAATTCATCCCTAAGTTCCTCTCCCGTCAAGAGTTAGTTCCTGAGCTTCCCCCCAGCTCTAAAGTTACCCATGCTCATCATATTCCTCAAGTCAGAGGTGGTGCCCTGCCACCACCAAAGTTTTGTCCCTCATCTATCCCGTTGGCTGGCACTGGTAGATACTGCACCACTCAGATACCCGTAGCTCCACCTTCAGCACGATCGGGCTTTCATGGCTTTTCCACCACGCCTACTACATTTGTCTCTGCCATGCCGGGATATGCCCCTAGACCCATCCCCACCCTCCCCATCTCTTCACCTGTGTTTTCTGGCCACTGTGGACCCTCAAATCTGACAATTCCTCTACCCTCCCATTTGGTACCCCCTTGGTCCCCTGCTGTGTCGGTGCCTCCCTGGACTCTCTTATCTAGGTTGGATGCCTGGAGGCGTCCGTTGGGGGGAGGGTACTGTCAGGGTTCTGCCCTGGCAGCTTTGTCTCTTGTATCTTTGTTTAATGTTTCCATGTTTGTTTTGTGCTTGAGCACATGGCTTTCTCTTTGTTTATGTTGGCCATGTGCTCCTTTTGTCTTGCCTCCTAGTTTCAACTTACCACGCCCCCTCGTTTAGTCCTTGTCTAGTTGTCATTCACTAATTGTCTTCACCTGGTCCTTGTTTGCTCCACTCCCTTTATATTGTGCTTCCTTGTTGCTTGTCTTTGCTGGATCGTTGTTTTGTGTTCATATTCTAGACCCTTCTCATGGCATAACCAGGTGTGATTGTCCAAAGCTCTCTCTGTAGCTTGTATCCTTGCAGCTTTTGCTTTGGGTTATCTTAGACTAACTTCCCTTTCTTGTACTTGAGCTATTCTAGTTTTTGATTGGTTCTGTCTTAGATTTATAGAGTTAGTTTGTTACTTTGCTTTTCTCTTTGATTTATGTTTTAGCCTGGGTTTTCACTTATTTAATACCTAGCTTTCTCCTGTTGTAGACTAGTTTTACTTTAGTTATTTACTTTAGTGATTTGTTAGTTTTCCTCTCTTATATGTAAGAGTTTAGTTTTTCAGTTACTTAACTACAGTGTTTGCCATGCCTTGTACTTCTCTAATGTTTTAGTGTTTTGCTCTTGTCTCTCCTGTATTATGTGTCTGTGTGTTCGAGTTGAGTCCTGTCCTGCCCATCCTGAGACTGCACTGACTGCTGGTTACTGGGCTGCTCAATCCTGTGCCCGGGTCTCCTGTCTGGACCTCTGTTGTGGGCTGTCTCTGGACTGTGCAACTGTTACACATTGTCACATCCTATTGTCAATAAATCACCATTCACTGCTCATCTCTGCGCTTGGGTCCTGTTATTTCCAGCGGTTCCTGACAGCGTAGTCTACAGCGTAGAGGCTCCGGCGTATAGGTCCGACGCAGAAGTATAAATCAGCCTTAAGAAGGGCTGTGGAACATATAGGAGACCCTGACAAAGTGGTGTATAGCTGTCTGTCCTTTTATCTACATCTTGACCAGTGCCTGTGAAAGTGAGTGCTGGTTACTTTCACATGGGCCAATACTTTAAGCGTTCATAATGAACAACCTTAGGTTCTGCTCAGAACCAAAAAAAAAAAAAAAAAAAAACATTCACATGTGAAGTCATTGGCTTTGAATAGAAATAAATGCATGGTCAGGAATTGATTAAAATGTGAGAGTATTCCTTTTATCTGCATTTGCTAACTGTAATAATTGATGTAGATGACATTGGTTATAGTTATTTTGATCTGACTGTACAAGTAACACATTGCAAGAATTAACAACAAACAGCTCCAGATTTTTTTATTTTTTTTAATCAGCATTAGTTCTTTATTTTTAAATAAGAAACATGAACAGTTAAAAATGCGTTTTCTTTACAGTAAGCACGCTCTGCCCAAGCTTGTGAATGAGATATTGAGTGATTCCAGGAAGCATGGAAGTTTTCTTGGTTTAATATCAGATAGAAGTTTCTTCTTCTTCAACAGATATAACTGTTAAATAAACACAAAACATTTTTACTTAGTCTAGGATTGTCCATCATCTTTCACTGTATTCATTTCTTAGCAAAGGTATGCTCAAGGACAGATTTGTATAGTGATTGTCACAGACAGTACCTCCAGTGAGCAAGCAAAATACAGCAGTCACAATTGGCCAATTAAATATAATGTTGATTATGATTTCTAATAAATCAGTCATATGTTTTACCTCTCATTCTGCAGCATTTGTAAATCAGCACGACTGTCACTAGCAGATATGGACAAGCTGCCAGTACAGAACTGAGTATGTGGAGGACAGAGATCTTAGACCCTGAAAAAGAGACACACACACACACTTTATCATGCGCTATATCTGAATGAGGGCATTTGAAGAAATAAATCAGCTCACAGTTTCAGTGACTACGTTTACATGTGCACCAATAATGTGATTATTTCTAATAATCAGAGTAAGGTCTTAATCGCGGTAAGATATTTACATGACATGAGCAGAATTCTTCACTCCAGTTTACATGCAATTTTCATTATTCTGATTCTGATTCATTATTCACTAATAAGTATTGTTATTATACCACACTCAGATATGCAGACATACAGTGTGCATGTTACTGGCCATTGTTTTAATCTACGCACATTAAATTTAAAATTCATACGCCGCATAGTTTAATGTGAATATGGTTACTACGATTATGAGCTTAATCACATCAGTTTTATCGAAGTATTGCGTCCATGAGGTAAAGTTTATTCACAATATTGCCAAAATCTCATTATAGCTACTGTAATTGTCAGCATTCGGCTGTTTTTCCGGTTTTGACCACTAGAGGCCCCCATGGTGCCTTTTGTCTGATCCAGTTATTGTTTGCACCATGTGCCTCGTTTCCCTTGTATGTATTTAAACCCTTAGTTTTCCTTACTTCTTTGCTCTGTGTTTGAATGTTAGCACCCAGCCTCAGTGAAGTTGTGAACGTTTTTGGCTCCAGTTGGATTCTCTTGTGGTACTCATTTATTTTCTGAGATTATTTTTTTAGGCTTTTTTCTGCTGTACCTTCTTACCTTGTGGATTTACCCTTTGACTTGGTGGATTACCTTTTTTTTTCTTGGAATACCTTTTGACATTGTGGATTTATATTTTTTTTGTCTGAAGATCTTTACTTTTTACATTATTAAAACACCGTCTCTAGTACTGCTGTGTCTGCCTCATCTTCTGGGTTCTGCTGACAACTAGTGGCTCAGTTTTGCTAAGTGACTGTTTCTCACACCGGAGACCTGAGTTCGTGACCGGGTCCTGACAATAATAGCATTATGCATCATGTAAATGCACTGATTCACCTCTGACTGAGATCCAGCTCTTGGGAGACTCTCCACTCTCTGGGTGTTTGCAGTAGTAGAAACCCTCATGAGACTTTGAGACAGTAGGGATGATCATCTCTGTAGTTTGTTTCTGGATGAGTGATCCATCTTTATAGAAATCAGCTCTGAGTTTTGGTGGGCTTGCATATGGATAAACACAGTGTAGAGTCAGATTATCTCCTTCAGTCACAGGATGAACCGGACTCTCCAGAATCACACCAACTATAGAAACACAGGAGACATGCAATATTTGCAAATATCAGAATAGCTGACTGTGTTGGGAAGCTTTCACTGTTTTGCTGACGAGTGACACATTTCCTCATATATTTATTGGACCAAATGGTTACATTGTCTTCTAAAGTTAAAAACTTTGGTGTTATGTTTGATAGCAACGTTTCTTTTGATAATCCTATTGACAGTGTTAACAGTCTTTTTTTCGCCAAACTATGACATATGCTGTCTAATGGTGAAAAACGAATTAATTAGCTCATGACCTCAATACTGGATTATCATAATGCTTTGTTGGATAGATGTCACACAGGATTTAGGAGCTCCCTTACTAGATCCTAGAAATATGATCATATCAGCCCCATTTAAACATCTCTAAATTTGATTTAGACTAAAATTGAATTTGACTGAACAATCATTTTTTCGATACCAATTTTATGAAATCTAAAAAACTGGTTTATTTTTTCCGTTTTTCAGACTCAAAGACTCATATAGGCCACTGGGGGGTGGAGTATATAGTGCACGCAGAAAGCTTGCCGCAAAGAACTGGCAAAAGTAGCCTAATGATTATGAATGTGTCAGGAAAATATAGCAAGGACAAGGAGACATTTAATTGTTTAATAATAATAATGTTTATTAATAAAGTAGTGAGTGTTGGCTGCAAAGATGAGGTTGACGTTGCTGACTCGTCATCTCTGCAGTATAGTGAACGTGCATGCCTATAGAGAGAAATTCACCTTTCATTTGGATTACATAATCAGAGAGTATTTGTTTTCGTTCAAATTGGTTCATTTAAAAGTAGACATTTCAAGCTTTATAACTATGTCTCCTGTCTGTGAGGCAAGTAGCCTTTATGCCGAGTTTCGGTTAATTTGTGACATGCTCCAGTTCTACTTGTAGTCGAAGACAGAGCAACTTTGTGCTCTCAGTTTATTCTGTTCACTGTCAAGTGCTTCATTTGTCATGTTGTTGGTCTTGGCAGCAATTATCTTGTCGCAAATATTTCACCGCGCGCTGTTGGCATCGAGTCCGGTGAAATGTAGCCACACTTTTGATCTTTTCCACATCTTTTACATCGATGGGGGTTGGGACGCTTACACACTACAGCCACATGTGTGAGCCACGTCTCTGAGCGTAACCGGCGTAAAAAAGTGTTTTTCCTTGATGCCTCACAACAGCTCTGGTCACAGCCAATCATGCTGCATGCTTATGGACTCACTGACTTACCCCTTAGGCATTGAAATTTGGTACAGAATGACAAGAAATTTTTTGATACTCGATGGTATCGAGGCAATTTGGTCGGTGCCTAAAAAGTATCAGCTCTAATATTGACTGTATAACAACATTTATTATTATAATAGATTTAATTGTAATAAATTACGTCAATACACACACACACAGTTATTTTTACATATAGTTATTTTAGACAAAACTTCAAAAGGTTGAAGATCCCTGATCTAATGCTTCCTGCACCAATCTGCTTTTGCATTGTTTGTAACATACCAGTGAAATTAATAAATACATAAATAAAGACTCACTGTGTATAGTGATATTAACATGGTGATAGTTCTCTCCAGATTCAGACTGACACCAGTAAACTCCAGTGTCTAGTGGGTCAGTGGTTCTGATTGTACATTTAGATCCCGTTTGTGATCCCCACACTGATGATGAGCAATCTTCCAGCCGCCCGCTGTCTGTGTATCTTCTCACTGTCCATCCATCAGAGTTACTCTGGTCCTCACAGCTCAGAGAAAGAGAGACAGAACTGAAGTGTTGAGTTCTGCTGGGACTGATGATCAGAGACACTGGAGGAGAAACACCTGACAAGACAATTACAGCTATAATTTGGTTACAGTGTTCAATTTGAGCTTCAAAACTCTCTTTTTCAAAAATGACAAATACTCACCAGTGACCCACAGTGGTTGTGTGTTGCTGTAGGTTGTGTATGTGGGTGGTTTATCTCTCTCTGCTCTGCACACATAAACTCCAGTGTGTTTTAGAGCAGCAGAACTGACCGTGTATTTTCCTCCAGCTCCTCTGCTGCTGTCTGAGAGGAGCTCATAATCATTCCTGCTCCCTGTATAAAGTGAGAATGTTAGGATGTCATCTTAAAGATGTATTTGAATTTCTAGCTAATCTGACCTTTAAAAGCTAATATGTTCCCTTTCGAAGGGAACTCAACAATACGTCATCGACGTTATGGGGAACGCCTCAGGCGTGACAGGTGTCTGAAATCACTATCAAATCACGTCAATCACATTGACCGGCGACAGCCCGTGAATCATTAGCGTGAATGATTAACGTGCGACCTGGAAGTATATAAGGGCGCCTTGCAAACATGACAAATCATCTTTTCGTCTTCAGGGACTGTTTTGTCTGTAACTGCTTTGAAAATCAGGTAATTATGAAATGCTTTCAGAAGTGTGCAGACCCGTGCCCAAGATATTTGTAGCCGGGTGACACACGTGAACTGTGCATTTTTTGTCTGGGAAGGAAGACGCGCACAGGCGGTTCTCGAGGGAACTGCCTGTACAAATTGTGATCGCGCCTGTCCCTCGAGAGAAGAGGGTTCAGAGTCTGGATGTCACAGCTGAAGCTCGCCGACCGCCTTGAGAGGGGTGTAATCCTCTCAGACGATGCGGCGGCTGATGAGAAGCTGCAATTGGATGAAGTTTAAAAAAAAAAGGGAAAACTTAGTCCGGCAGCAAGCGCTCTCCCGGACAAACAGGAGATGGCTGATGAGGGTGGAAATAATCAAATATTTTCCTGTATCTTCTCAGCCACCCTGGCCCGTGTATGCTGAGCTGGTTGGTATTATAGAACGCGCCGCGGGCAGGCTGCAGCTGCCGTGGCTGCTCGTTGGGGGAGAAATCGCTCGCGATGAGAGCGGTTTTTCCCCGGTCATAGAACCACCAGCTCAGGTGAGCCTTTCATTTCTTCCCGATCTCATACTGAGATCGAGAGGACATGGAAGAACCCATACTCTGCCTGTATCCACCAACATCAGCGGGCTAGCTCGCTGATGTTGAGAGGATAGGAGAGCGTGGGTATGCGTGGATGGGAAGAGGGATCTGAGGGAGGTGATCCGGCACAAACGCACGTTGCGTTGGTCTTGGATCATCTTTCCTGAGGGCGTGATTATATCTTTGCCTTTTCCTCTCTTCCCCAACTCCCCAGGCGCTTCTTACATCAGGCCTGAGGCTGGGCTCATGGTTAGAACAATGTTCTGATGGCCCGCCTCGGCTTGGTTAGTGAGAGTGCCTCTTTCAGGTATGTAAAGGTGGTAGACCCCATGTTCATGAAGAACTGTCTGGTGAGTTTTCACTTTGCACGCCGCAGGTGAGCTGCTGGTCTTTTCAAGGAGTATATTTTTTGTGATAAAAAATAACATATTTCTCTTTACAGACCTCGTTCCCTGTATAAAGAGTTATGGGGTCATGTCAAGGTAATAAAGGTAAGGTAACTTTATTGGATTATTAGGGCCCTGAAGTTCCCCGTTAGGTGGCCAGAATGATAACTATGTTAGCCTTCGGGCTACTAGCCACCTCTGGGTAGAGTAGTTGGTCTCTCTCTGATAGAATGTTTACTTAGAGTGTTGACTGACGCTAGAGCTTCAGATAGATCTTATGTCCGGCCCATGGGACCGTTTTGACTTTTCTGAGTATTTCGCCCCTTGAGCTCTGTTGAGTTTTCATTAGGTTGAGCGTTCTGCAGCCCTTTGTATGGAATAATACAGACTATATTCTTTAGTAGGCTGTGGCTCCTCTGAGCCCTCAGATAGATCTATGCTTACAGGTTGGCCCTCACCAGGGCCGCCTCTGTAGCTGGCCTAGGCTGTGCCAGGGATATTAGAGGCGTTCTGCTAAAATTAGCATTTCTTCCTCTGACCCTTCACTTTGTGAATGTAGGTTTTGGCATCCCTGTATAATCAGCCTCCTCCCATGGGAGTCGTTAGGCCAAGGCCCGCCCCCTTCTTTGCATTCTAGGGTGACTACAGTAATGCAGCGTGGTGCAGAGGATGGTTTATAAGGACATGGTAGGCCTCAGTTAGGCCTCCGTGGTATATAAGTCCTTTTGAGCAGGGTTAGGCCGTCTTTCGCTAAAAAGAAAAAGGGCGCTGTAGGCCACTTCTCGAGAGAAATGGTTGGCTTTGGTGGTTCGGGCAGTTGACTCACCGGTGGGTAGTAGGCCTTAAACAGGCTTCCTCTGAGGTGAGTCCCAACATTGTGGGACATACTTTATAGCTGCTACAGGTAGCTAGCCGTACTAGGCCTCCTGTGGGTGGGCCCAATAGTTCCTTGGTGTGGTATGGTTCCCAACAGTGTTCCTTTGTAGCAGAATTGACTTGCTGTCAGCTAGTAGGCCCAACCAGGCCTCCCTGATAGGCGAGTCCCCAGCTGACTGGCCTTAGCAGGCCACCTTGGAACTGTCACCCGGACTCAGCTACCAGTTGCTATCAGGTGGTAGGCCCCTCAGGCCTCCCTGAAGGTGAATTCCCACTTAAGATGGTTATCAGGAGTAGGCCTCACCAGGCCTCCCTGAAGAGACAAGCCCAAGGACGGGCAACTGGACAGCTAGCCTGGCTTACTATCGGGTAGCAGTAAAAAGCTCCCAGATATTATGGCTGTCAGGTAGTAGGCCTCACTAGGCCTCCCTGAAAACGAGTTCCCACATGCTGTGATTATCAGGTAGCAGGCCTCACCAGGCCTCCCTGAGGGTGAGTTCCCCACGTACTATCGCTATCAGGTAGTAGGCCTCTCTAGGCCTCCCTGTAGGTGACCACATACTGTTGCTATCAGGTAGTAGGCCTTACCAGGCCTCCCTGAAGGTGAGTTCCCACAGACTGTAGCAATCAGGTAGTAGGCCTCACCAGGCCTCCCTGAAGGTGAGCTCCCCACATACTGTGGTTGTAAGGTAGCAGGCCTCACCAGGCCTCCCTGAAGGTGAGCTCCCCACATACTGTGGTTGTAAGGTAGCAGGCCTCACCAGGCCTCCCTGAAGGTGAGCTCCCCACATACTGTGGTTATCAGGTAGTAGGCCTCTCCGGGCCTCCCTGTAATGTTTCTCTAATGGTGCTGGGTTTATGAAGCTAGTGGCCTCTTGCTATCAGTTTCAGCTAGCCTTAATAGGCAGCTGCTGAGGGCGAGCTTGCGCCCTGGCTCGCTAAAGTGTTTATTCTCTGCTATTTGTTCCCTCCTGGAACCTTTCCTGCCTACAGCCTGGTTTGCCTACCAGGCAGACCTTGTGCTCCCCTCACTGAGGGTCTCTATGAGCATGCGGCTTCCTGAGTCTGGTCAGACGGTCGTAGGCCTCTCGTGAGGCCTCCCGGTTAGATCAGCCATTAGGCCTTCACAGGCCTCCTCAGTGTTTGCAAACACTGGGTTGATCCATGGATCGAGTAGAGAAACTCCCCTCGCTAGCAAGGGTCATAAAGCACTATGCTGAGTCATACTCTCCGGGATATCCCGTCTCTGAGATCCGGGCCGAGTGGTTCACTGCCAGCGTCGCAGTCCCTCGGGTTGGATGCCTTACTTAAGGCTTTTTTCCAGAGGCTCTGTCTTCGGACAGACAGGAAGTGGCCAGACTAAGTGTCTATGTATCTGACGCCAGGTCAGGCCGTCCTGGTGGCATATCGGGGTGAGTACGTTCCCCTGAATAGTGACTGGCTGGGGTTCCTTCGGATTCCCTAGCCACATTCCCTAGAAGGGGCCCCTTCTAATTGAAGTTGTGGTCCTAGGCCTTTGAGCAGGCCCAGGTAGGCTTTCATTTAACTATGTTTATGGAGGTTTTCCTGTTAGGCTTATAGCTTGGGCTATGACCGTAGGGAATGCTGTCACTGACAGCCCAGTGTGACCTGAGGGTGAGTGGTTCTAGCATTTCATTTGAATTTGCTGGTTCGGACAGTTGTCACTGCCTGAGGGCATGCACTCCCCTCAGCATGGCGGCGTGGGTATATCGTTCCCCATAACGTCGATGACGTATTGTTGAGTTCCCTTCGAAAGGGAACGTCTCAGGTTACAAATGTAACCTTTGTTCCCTGAGAACAGGGAACGAGACAATACGTCTCCCTGCCATGCCTCGGGGCTTGCCTGCCGTACAGTCCCTTCAGACGATAAGGTGATTTGTCATGTTTGCAAGGCGCCCTTATATACTTCCAGGTCGCACGTTAATCATTCACGCTAATGATTCACGGGCTGTCGCCGGTCAATGTGATTGACGTGATTTGATAGTGATTTCAGACACCTGTCACGCCTGAGGCGTTCCCCATAACGTCGATGACGTATTGTCTCGTTCCCTGTTCTCAGGGAACAAAGGTTACATTTGTAACCTGAGACGACTTCTGTAAATGTTACAGTTCTGTCTCCTAGCATATAAGTCATTTGTAGGTTGATTTCCAAGGGAAGTGTAAACACTGGCACTATTAGCCAATTGCAAGAGTTTGGGGTAGAATGTCATTGATGCAATCCTTAGTCAGGTTGATTGACTTGAATAAACCCAGTTAATTTAGATGTTATCAGATGAAGCACATTAAAACTGACCTGAGACAGTTTTAGTGAACCAGCTGAATGTCCAGCCTGTAGCGGAGCCGTTAACCTCACAGATCAGAGTCACTGGATCTCCTTCAGTCAACCACTTCTGAGGAGAAACACTTAAAACTGCTCTGGGAACTGAAATCGAGACATCGCTCATTAATAACATGTTAAACTGGTGTATGTTTGTAGATTTATCAATAACTGACACAATGCAGACTAGATTTAGCCAAACGTGTTCCTTGTTTTTTATTGCTCTCCTTCTTGCATTACACTCGTGCAACCCCTGCACTCTGGTTCACACCGACCACACCCACCTTCCCATGTAACACCACCCTTAAAGGGCTATAGCATTTATTAACTATGATATAACATTTATCAACACTACATCCCTTCCCTTAAGCTAACACTCACCAACTGAACATGTGAATAAGCAGTATAACATGTAACACTGTAACAAATGTGACGGGCATATTTAACCAGTTACATCCTGATAACGTGGGTTAGGATGGCTAAAGCCTAGTTCACACTAGGGATGGGACGATACACTTAAACTCACGATACGATGCACCTCCATATGCCAGGGTCACGATACGATACGTCACGATACGATATCATAAAAGAAAAAAAAAGAAAAAACTATTACTGTATAACATCAACTTATTCATTTGCTTTGGCCGCCAAAGCAAATGTGTGTCCCTGCAAAGCCTTTTTTGATCGGCGAGTGATGTAGAATAAATTGACTGCTGCGCTTGACAATGACAGGGCGCATAACGAGCAGAGAGAGAGAAGCCTTGTTTATACTCGACGCGTCCGCAAGAGCGCGAGTCTCCGCTGACTGCGCGCGCACCTCTCCAAACGGACGAGGCGTTTATACTTGACGCGCTCGCCGTTGTGCTATTCTGTGAAACGACAGGGGGCGACTCGGAGTAATTCTCTTCTAAACCACCAGGAATCAGCAGTGAAGAAGTAGTTTGCCGTTTATTCAATAAAAAGAGTATTAAATGCAGTAGGTTTATTGTACTTTCACTGCATGTAAACTAAACAACTGAAGCCTTATTGAAGAGTGTTTAAACCTTAATTTCATCAGCAGGGCTTACTTCTGCTATTGTAGGCTTATTTTGTAAAAGTAAGCAGTTACTTTAGACAAGTGCAAACTGGGTGCTTAATGCAAATGTGTTCCTATTCACAAAATGAGAGGCTTTTATGGTCGCCCATCAATGCAAATGTCTCTGTATATAGAAGGATCATAAACATGCTGATGCAGACGCACCAGTTCGGCCAGATTCGGCTCGAAGTCGTTCATCTTCGGATGCGGCGCCGCGCGCGATGTTACAAAAAGTGCCGTGCACACCGCCAGGCGAAATGGGGTCTTGCGCACCCAACGCGCACGACCGCCCACACCGCAATGACGTCATTTTTGCCGCGCGCACCTTCGCGCTCTTGCGGACGCGTCGAGTATAAACAAGGCTAGAGAGAGAGAGAGAGAGAGAGCGCCCCGGCCGCGCGCGCGCACTCTCACCCCTCATTTACACTGCATACGTCTGCGGCGCATTACGGTTTTATTCCGTCCTTCACACAGTGCCAACTCACACCAGGAGCATTTCAGACGCGAAGCGACTGGATGCGCGAGACCACGTGATTTGCCTGTCCGGCGTGGTTTTTCTTGATTTTTGTGTGTCTACCTACAGTCTCTGGATTTTACCAAGGATATATTGGTGTGCAATACAATTGGGATTCTGCACAGGGTGTTTATTATGAAATTGACAGTGTTTTTTTACTTTTATTTTGTATTTACGGTGCGGCTTGGACGCGGCGTCCGTCAAAAATAAACTAGGCGCCTATATTTAGCGAAGCGGCGCGGAGAGCAGCTTCTGAAACGCGCCGCTTTGCGGCCGGTGTAAACACAAGCATTGACTAGAATGGCCGCGATCAGCTCGGTAGCCGTGTCGCAGCCGTAATGCGCCGCAGACGTGTGCAGTGTAAATGAGGGGTCACGTCTTCAAACAAAACGAGCGCTGTCTTGCTCTCTCTCCCTCGCGCATATTAATCAAAATCAATTGACACGATAGTAAAAGGTCGGAAGACCGCAGTTTCACGTGGAGCATTTGGAGATTTTAAGAGATTAGAGACTCTAGGCTTACTTAGACTCAAAGAACAACATCTCAACACTAAATTATAAAGGCCGGTCTCATATAGACGCCTGTCTCGAATACAAGCCGGTGCAGTTCGACGATTTGGGAAAATAAAAGCCCGGGCTATTATTTGAAGTTTTACGGTATATATATATACATTTGACTCCATGGTCGGCTGTTTGGGGGCAAGGCAGTTGGTACTGATGCTAATATTTGTTAGCTCGCTGTAGACTGCAGTGTTGTTGTTGCAACATGCGCTGTCTTGACGTGATGACGTACCGCACCGTTCCACGGATATAATTTTTTTTTCATTTAGTTTTACCCTGCTTGATCAGCAGATGGTGCTGCCAGCCTGCCACCATAGACTGTATGTCTGCCCCATATACATACACACACACATATAATACACTAAATTATTTATATACTACGCAAATCATGCAGCAGTGCCATCTATCTTTATTTCGCGATCCATTTTTTTTCGACCTCGATGCGTTTCGTCACGTTTTGTATCGCGATATTTTGTCAAACGATATTTCGTCCCATCCCTAGTTCACACTACATGATTTTAAAACGTCGGGCTGAACTGTGCGGTTCACACTACATGACTTGCTCTCTGTGAAATCAGGAGTGTTCAAGTTGTTGAGCTGTTCACACCACACGACACAACGTGATTGATCCGCAACAGGAGGTAACGCACTACACGAGTTGACAACAACTCTGTCACCCAACGATTCAATCTTGTCTACAAACCACGTTTTGTCACAAAAAATCACGCGATAAAACGAACCGGAAATGACGCGAAACATCACGCGCGCTAATACCCAGCGAAGAAGACGAAAACCCATGCCTTGCTCTGATTGGAGCAACCCATGCCTTGCTCTGATTGGCTGTAGCTCACTGAGGTTGAGTCGGGCGACAGCTCTGGATATCTAGCATGCTAGATATTTTTCTGGGCTCGGCGACGCGTCTGCGAGGCGTCAGCGAGCGTCTTTGATGCGTTGTTGGCTCTTTCATACTAACAGATTGGCGAGCGTCCATCGTCCGCTAATCCCCCGCGATTTGCACGCGATAACACCCTGACCTGTCGGCGAGCTCAACGATTTGCAAATCGGGCTTAAATCGGGCTTATAATCCTGTAGTGTGAACTAGGCTTAACTCTCCCTGAACGAGTCACTACAGGTTGGGCAGTTTCAGCGACAACATCAGTGGCAGGTGCTTCGCTCTGAGATGGTAGCACTGTAGATGACGAGAGGTTTGTAAGAGGCGACACTGGTGGAAGTGGCCTGTAATCATCTTCTGAACAATCAGTGGGCGCAGGCTCTTGAACACCGAGAAGCAGACGTCGATTTCTTACGTATTGTCTGCCCTGAGAGGTCACCACATAGCTGTTAGGTTGAGCAGCATGGCCCTGTACAACCTGCCAGTTTGTCGAAACCGCGAGCCGTCTGCATCCTTACTGTCTGACCCCGTTGTAGGGGTGGAAGGGTATGGGCATTGCGGTCATAGTATGCTTTGCTTTCCTTTCTCCTTCTGGTAAGAGCTGCCTGGACGTTGCTGCATACAGAGGGCATCAGTCTGTCTTTCAGCTCAGGAAGAAAAGTTCTCGTCCGTCTAGAGAGGAGCAGTTGGGCAGGTGATGGCAGGTCAGCGCCTGAAAGGTTACGCAGGTGGAGTAGAGCAGCCTGAATGTCACTGAGCTCTCTATGGCATTTCTCAAGCAGATGCTTGGCGGACCGCACTGCACGTTCTGCAAGCCCGTTGGATTGTGGGTAATATGGGCTACTCCGAATGTGCTCAAAGTCCCATGCATGTGCAAAACCAGATAATTCGCCACATACAAACTGCCGTGCATTGTCTGTCATGAGCGTCTGAGGAATGCCATGGACGGCGAAGTGTCTCTTAAGTTTCGCAATTACAGTGACACTTCTCATGTCAGGTAGATGGTCAAGCTCAAACCAACCAGAGAATGAGTCCACTAGAACCAAATGCATTTTTCCATGCCATTCAAATACGTCTGCCGCAGTGAACATCCAGGGAAGATCAGGAACATTGTGTGGTTGCATCGGTTCATGTGATTGATGGGGTCTAAGGGCGTTACAAGGAGCACAATGAGAGATTGCTCTCTCGATATCATCATACATCGTAGGCCAGTACATTGTTTCTTTTGCCCTGCGTTTTGTGGTCGCCAGACCTGGATGGCCCTGATGTAGCTGAGTCACATAGTAACTTTGTAGCGATGGTGGTATCAGGAGTCTCTGTCCTCGAAAAATCAGTCCATCTTCAACAACAAATTCCTCTCTCATGGAAAAGAATGGGCGGAGATCATGTGAGAGGTCTTTGAAGGAGTTTGGCCAGCCATGCATAATCATGTTAACAAGTCTTTAGCATGTGGGATCAGATTTTACAACAGTTCGGAGTTCCTCTGTCCGCTGTGATGAGAGAACTTGGAGTGTCATTACCTCTAGCAGGTCATCCGAAAGGGGAGGGTCAGTGGAGGGGAGATGAGCACGTCATAGGGCATCAGCGACAAAGAGTTCCTTGCCCCGTTTGTAGATCCCGTTTAGACTGTAACGTTGGAGCTTGAGCATCATACTTTGAAGACGTGCTGAGGCGTTGTGTAGCGGCCTTTTTAAGATTGTGATGAGAGGCTGGTGATCTGTTTCCACGGTGACGGGTCGGCCATAAATGAAGTCATGAAACTTCTTAGTTGCAAATGCTAACATTTCTTTCTCGATTTGGGCATACCGAGATTCAGTTGGTGTTAGGGTGCGTGAACCAAATGCAACAGGAGCGCCCTGCTGAAGACACACAGCGCCCAGTCCATGTTGGGATGCGTCAGCTGAAAGGATGACAAGTTTGGTGACAACAAAGTATTGCAGAACTGGGGGACTGGATACAGCGTGCTTCAGCTTTTGGAAAGCGGCATCCTGCAGCTCATGCCACGACCATTCCACATCCTGCTTCAACAGTTCACGTAGAGGGGCTGTAATGTCACTATAGTGTGGAATGAATTTTGATAAGTAGTTGGTCATACCAAGAAACCGTTGTAAGGCCTGTTTGTCCTCAGGTTTTGGCATTTGGCGGATAGCTGTGGTCTTGTCGGCGTCGGGTTTGACGCCATGAGCAGTCAGGAGATGGCCTATATAAGAAACTGAGGTGACATGAAATTTGCACTTATCGGGGTTCAATTTCATGTTACAGCTGCGGATTTTGTGGAGTACCTGTTTCAGTCGCTCATCATGTTCCTGTAGTGTGCAGCCCCAGACTAGTATGTCATCTACCACAATTTGACATGGTTGTGCATCAAAAAGCTGCTCCATGGATCGCTGGAACACTTCACTGCCAGTGGAAATTCCGTTAGGCATGCGCAGGAATCTGTACCTGCCAAAAGGCGTCATGAATGTGGTCAGCTTCGAAGATGCCTCGTCTAAGGGGATTTGCCAAAATCCACATTTTGCGTCGAGGATACTGAAAACCTTGGCACCCGGCATGTCAGCGATGACCTGCTCAATGGTTTTCAGTGGATGGTGGGGCCTTAAGAGTGCCTTGTTGAGATGCACTGGATCTATGCAGATTCTTACAGAGCCATCTTTCTTTTTGGCAGCAACCATGGCAGACACCCATTCAGTGGCGTCGATTTCAGGGGTGATTACACCCAATGTAGTCATTCTCTCAAGCTCTGCCATGACTTTCCCCTTCATTGCTATGGGCACTTTCTTAGGTGCACAGACAGAGGGCGCTATTGACATGTCTAATCGCATGTGATAAACAACAGGCAGTTTGCCAAGCACTGTGGTGTCAAATAGATCACTGAACTCTTGTACCTCTGGTTCTTGGTTTTGTACTGCATGCACATGTGGTCCTAACTGTATCCGACCCATAGCTATACTGTCTTGCAATCCTAGTAGTGGTCTCACATTGCGATTTACAACATGGAATTTTAGTTGGCCTTGTTCACAATCTAGCATCGTTGTGTCCTCAGTATTGATGGTTTGCCCACCATATGCAACGAGATTAACTTTTTCAGTGGTGTTTATGTGAGCTGAGGGTGCGATGAGGTGTAACTGGTGGGCAGATATAACGTTGCATTTGGCACCTGTGTCCACCTTCAGTTTCAATTTGCCAAATCCGTGTGTCAGTTGCGCTGTTGTGAATATTTAACCTTTCTGCGAAACATCATCCACTGTCTCACAATAGAAAGTGTCCTCAGGGGCATCCAGATTCGTGCCTAATTCATTCACCCGATTAGGCTTATGGTTTCTGAATTGTGCAGTAGTTCGTTTAGGATGGTAGTCACGAGTTTGTGACTGTGGTGCCGTTTTGTATGATGGAGTTGATCTACAGCATTTTGCAAAATGGTTCCATTTTCCACAGTTGTTGCACTGTTTATTAAAAGCAGAGCACTTGAGTTTATCAGGGACGTGATATCTGTCGCAATTGATGCAGCGATCGTGTATTGCACAAACTTCAGTCTCGTGTTTCAGTTCTTTTGTGCTCTTTTCAGATTGCTCATATAACAGGCATATATTAACTGCAGAGTCCAACGTCAGATTTTTTTCGCGGAGCAGCTGTTTCCGCACGCCATCACTTTCAATCCCGCAAACTGCGGTCACGGATTAGCTCGTCATTTAAAGTTCCAAAGTCGCATTTTTTTGCGAGTAACTTTAAGGTAGAAACATACGACTGAATGGACTCACCAGGTTTTTGATTAGTCGTGTTGAAGACTTGTCTGTCCATTATAATGTTCTTTGTGGGCAAGCAGAGTTCTGCAAACTTTTTCAGTAATACGTCGGGATCTTCTCTGTTCTCTCCCTCTGCAAACGTGAAAGCCTCGGATTTCTCCACCGCGTCGGGGCCCGCTAAATTCAGCAGAGTGTACGCCTGCATCTTTTTCGATATACAGCATTGCAGTATATGCTCCATTCTTTTTCGAATTTGCTCCAGTTGTCAGCAATGTGATCGTCGAAGATTAGCGGATCAAAACGGCTGAAACATTGTGCCATGTTCGACCGCTTCTGACACCATGTAGATTTATCAATAACGGACACAATGCAGACTAGATTTAGCCGAACGTGTTCCTTGTTTTTTATTGCTCTCCTTCTTGCATTACACTCCTGCAACCCCTGCACTCTGGTTCACACCGACCACACCCACCTTCCCATGTAACACCCCCTTTAAAGGGCTATAGCATTTATCAACTATGATATAACATTTATCAACACTACAGTGTTTATGAAGATATGCTCAAACTCACCTGATACTGTCAGTGTAACTTCATCGCTGCGTTGTGATCTGCGTGATCCTTCAGTCTCTGTCCCATTACAGGAGTATTTTCCTGCGTCAGACTCATTAACAGACCTGAACGTGTGTTCCTGTAGTTCACTGAAAACCATGGATGAATGTCCTTTATACCAGTTGTACCGCCAGCTAGGGACTCCATCATAAATGTCACATCTGAGAGTGACTGTCTCTCCTCTGAATACAGGATGATCAGGTTTAATGGTCACTTTGGGTTTTGGTATTTCTGTAAAACGATAACAATTCACAATGAAAACAATGTACTGTTTTTTAATGTATGAATATGGTTTCTTGATTGCAAAATATAGTTGCTAAACCAGGTTAGACTTTAGTGTTGTTCTCCACCTAGGTGTTGCTGCAGCAGTTTTTGTTAAAAAAAATGTTGATGTTAGATAAACTAGCATACTATTGTTTCTGACCAGTAGGTGTTTCTGTCACCTACTGAACAGACACCCCCTAGTCCCACTTTGTCAAAAAAATCAATTATAACTATCTCGTGGCCTCAAGATAGTATAACTTGAGGCCATAAGTTACTATCTTGAGGCCACGAGTTACTATCTTGAGGACACAAGATAGTTATAATTAATTTTTTTGACAAAGTGGTAGGGGGGCTCCGTAGTCACCAAACCAATGAGAACTAAACCCTTTTCTTTTTTTTATAGTAAAAAAAGTGTTACAGAGATGCATGCATCGTGACTTACAATTTTTTCATGACACGTCAACTTTGTTAGGCTGTAAAACGCTAGTGGGCGGGCATGAAAAACGACAGTGGTTGTGAAAAACAGTTATCACATTAGACAGAAACGGGAATCATCTGTTCGATCTCAAGACTCAGCAATAAACACAATATTTGTGAATAACAGACTGACGATGTTAAAAAGGCAACGTTGTTAAATAGGCAATTGTGTATTTAGTCCTACAAATGTAACACTAATATTTTTCAGCTGGCTTGAAACAGTTAGTGTTGATGAAATATATAAATCAAATATAATCACCTTCAGTGTGTCCAGAGTGGATGTTTGAAATCAGCACTAAAAACACAAAGAAATAAACTTATTACAGTGTGTGCTGATCTTTTTTATATATACATCAGACATTTTATAACTGTAGCCTATGTGCCTATGCTTGTGAAACACACTCAAATGTACTTATTTCTGGTGAGGTTTGTCTACTTTGTAGAGCTAAAGTTATCTGTATGAGTGCAGATGTTGATTTTTTTTTTTTTTTTTTTTTACATATTTTGCCATTGCAGAGAAAACTGTTTAGGGAACTTCATGCCAACATTCTGATCACAAACAGAGGAATGAAACACTCTTAATGCCTATTTACACAACTCCGTGTCCCATTCACATCAAGTGCAAACACTTAATGCAATAAAACAACATAACTTTATCTAGCACTTTATGAATTAAACCTAAATTGCAAAACTGTTGATAACTTGGTTATGTTTTACATGTTGTTTTTCTTCATACACATTATTTCATCTATACAGTAGGTCTATTGATATCACTGTACCTTGTTTTGTGCATTAAAGATAAGGAAAAAAAGAAAAAAAGATTTATATATATATATATATATATATATATTTTTTTATATATATATATATATTTTATTTTATTTTTTTTATATATATATATATATATATTTATAAAATGTGCTTATGCATTTTACTACAAGGCTGGGCTTTTTAATTTAGTGTAACTATTTCAGTCTTAATCATTTTAGTTTTAGGCCAACATAGATTTATTTGCTCACCATTTCTTACAAAGAAATTTCTTTTAAAGGAATAACGTTTTAAGGAACTTCTCAAAAAAGTGGGTAACGCTTTAGATTACAGCCCGGAAAGTACTGTGTAATTAAGAGGAATTTACAGAGTAACTTTCAGTAATTATAGTGTACCTATAAAGTACTTGCATTATACTTATAAGGGAACAATATGTAAAGTTTGGGGAATAAAGGGGTAACAACCAGGAGAATTAAAAAAATATTTATACTGTAAGTATTATAGAACTAAGGGTAACTTATTCTACTATTATGATACAACAATCTTACATTTGGGAGCAATTTAGCGAGAACATACACATTGCTTACCTTTTTGTAATAATTGTATACCAATACATACTGTATAGGCTTTTTTTAAATTACAGGGTACATACCTATGCATTTATACTTTTATTTATTTATTTTATGATAGTAAAAGTGCAGATGTTTAAGTTGGGCTAACATGTTTCAAGGCAAGAAAAGCTAAGACTATTGCAATTTTTTTAAATACTGGGAAATATATCTTGTTTCATGTGGTTACAGGGTAAGTGGTGCTTCTATAATAAATAAAGGTTTCCGAGTCAGTGATATAAGATTGTGTGTATACATTTTTATTGTTACCCTGTAACTACATGGAACAAGGGGGTAAAAAGCACCACTTTAATTTACAGCCCGCAATGTCACACTTACCCTGTAACTACATCGAACAAGGGGGTAACAAGCTACATGAAACAAGAGTATCTTTCCACAATATTTAAGCAAAAGTTGCAATAGTTTTCGTTTTCAGTGCACTTTTGTTAAAAAGATTACATTTTAAAAATTACAGGGTACATCTATGCATTTATAAAGCCCATACAGTATGTACTGGTTCACCATTATTTCAAAAAGGTACGCAGTAGATGTTCTTGCTAAATTGATCCCAAATGTAAGATTGTTATATCATAATAGTAGAATAAGTTACCCTTAATACTTACAGTATAAATATTTTTTTAATTCTCCTGGTTGTTACCCCTTTATTCCCCAAACTTAAAATATTGTTCTCTTATACTTATATTGTAAGTACAATGTAGGTACACTATAATTACCGAAGGTTACGCTGTAAAATTGCTTTAATTACACAGTACTTTCCGGGCTGTAATCTAAAGCGTTACCAAAAAGTGCAAAAAAAAAATGCACCATTTTAACCAATGTATAAGCAACTGAATGTTGACATCACTGCCGAGATAAATGCATCTGCAATTACTGTCAACCACAGGACCAAATTGAAAGTAAATAAATTGAACATTGAAAAGATGCTAAAAATTTCAACATGAGAAAAAAAAAAATTTAAGTGCTGCATTGCGTCTAAATGACATTGTAATGGTAGGCCTACGTGGTAACCAGGGAGCAAGAGGAGAAGAGGAATTTATTACAAAGAACTCAGGAACCACACTTTACATAAATGAGAACAGACAAGGAGTGAGGGAGAACACAGTTTAAATACACAGAGAACGGATTAGGGAAACAAAGCACAGCTGGCAAATTAACTAAACACAGGTGAATGAACTGAACACTAACGAGGAGCGGGAAAACTGACAGGACTAAACCAAAAACACTAAGCAGGGGGAAACACAGGACATACATGTAACCGACATCAGTCCATTTATTCTGGAAGAAATTTTGTAATCCCGCGCCTTAGTGAAGTTTCATGTTGGATAAAGGTGTCTGTCATAATAAATATAATGTAATGTGAAATCCACTGACATACCGAGAAAGAATACACACAGAGAAAAAAAATACTCACAGAGCAGAAGAGGAAGTTGACAGAGCTTCATACTGACTGACTAATGACAGAAGTAAAAACAAAAGCAGATAGTAGTGTGTAACCCAGGTCACACTAAAGAGATCTTGCTGAAGTAAAGAAAAGAAAGAGACTAACACTCATGAACATATGACCGGTTATTTTATTAAATATCTGTGAAGAGAAAAAAAATAAGAAGAATACATAAATTAGAATTTAGTAAAAAAAAAAAAGAAAAGAGTGGTTTAATCTAATAAGACAATGATTGGTCTAAATAGACGAATGAGAGTTAGCCCGCCTCAGTGGAGTCAGCAGAATAGGGAGATGATGCAATGTTCCTTGGAGAGGAAGCAGCAGTTTCATATAGTTTTTTTTTTTTATTTATTTTTTTTTTATTATTAAATACCAAGTACTAAAACCTTGAAATTACACACTTCGGTACAGTAGGTGGTGGTATGCACCTGAACAAAGCTGGTTGCGACCCGCCATTAATCCTAGAGAAGAAGAAGAGGAAGCAGCAGCAGCGAGTGCGATCATGGAAGAGGAGCGAAAAGTTGAATTAGAGTGAACAAACTAGTAGTTTTTATCATAGAAACAATAGAAAGAGATTTTGAAATATAAAAATAGATTTGAATATTGTGATAGATCATGATTTGAGTGAATGTGAGACTGAACCTGCAGGGAATACAAGCCTAACGCTGGGAGAGTTTGCCTTAAACTTTTCTAATCGAGATTTGAGTTCTCTTGGTAAGTGAAATTACATCGAAAGAATGAGTCAGAAACTGTTGGAAGCAGGAACTGGCGAGCCATGCCCATATAAGGATCGAACTGTGAATCAAAGCGTGAACAGTGTGGTGTGTGGTAGGACAACGCGTTCTCATCCCAAGGCGTCCCGACGCTTTTGCCAAAGCGTACATATCCTACGCACATGGCACCCTTTAGCGTCAATATAACACGCACTGAGTATGGGTAGGTTTAGGTCTGGGGTAGGGTTAGGGTTAGACCACTAGGAGGCGCCTTCTGCCCCATATATATCTGCGTCTCATATTTACGCTAAAGGGTGCCATGTGCGTAGGATATGTACGCTTTGGGATGAGAACGGGCTCTGTTGGACTGAGCACATGCATGTTGTTGTTTTTTTTGTTGTTGTTTTTTCTACTGAACTGTTAAGCAGAGCGGAATTTGCGGAAGAAGGATCTCGCGAAAGAACAGTGAACTGGAACTGAGAACTAAAATCTCAAATCACATTGGCCCTCATTTATCATTCTTGCGTAGAAACGGGCGTATATATTGGTGTAAGATTATACTTACACTCCTCTCACCGCCTGATTTATGAAGCTGTGCGTACCTTTGAAATCCAGGTGTACGCAATACCTGCCCTTGATAAATCCCGCGGCTGAAAACGATCGTCATTAAACACGCCCAAGTCTCCGCTTCCCCCACGCCCTCATTTTACGCCATGGACACACGGAAGACGGCAAAGAAGAGAAACTTCTCTGACGTGGAGCCGAAATGACCTATCACTGCAATATTTTACAGCACGTCTTTTGAATTAGCATTCAATTTCGAATCACGTTACATGTATTGGGGTGTACAATAGTGATGATGATGATGTGATGTGGAGTACCATTCATTCACATTAATAATTGCATGACAATTTGTAATATTCTTATTATTATTAGTATGATTTGTATTATTAATGACGCTTGTTATTTAGAAGAAGAATGTCATTATTATTATTTGTATTATTATTATTATTTAAAAGAAGAAGAATGTATTTTTTATTATTTTGTCAGCCTGAATTATTTTTTGGTCATTGAAAGCCTTTCGTTACCGAACCCCGTCCGTGCGCACCTGCCGGGCCAAACCATGAAACGTCAGGGTAAAGCGCACAGGCTCGCAACTGAAGGAATACATATGCTTACAAATCAAATGCTTTGGTAAAGTCACACAAATTAAACATTGAAGTCCATGTTGCACAAAAATAAACACTGAGGTTTATAATTACTATGTTGTTGTTGTTTTTTACAGTGGTAATATATCATATCTTTTAGTTTGTCAGTGCATTTTGTGGTGTTAGGAATTGTTTTTCTGCGCATTTCCGCACTAACTCAAAACGTGCGTACACCACCTCCTGAGCTGGCGTAGGATTTGAGCGTGCCGTACGCCAACGTCCATATTGATAAATCTCAAAGTCACCGTGGTTTTGGGTGTACGCCAGGTGTACGCTGGAAATTTGGTGTACGCACTTTTGATAAATGAGGGCCATTGAGATTAACTTAGCCTACTGTGAGCATTGAACTAATTTGATTGTGAATTTATTTTCTTTATTGATTATCATTGAACTAATTTGATTGTGAATTTATTTTCTTTATTGATTATTTTTTTTTGATTTATTGTTTAAGTGTTTTATCTTTTCTATTTCTGGAAAACGAGAATGAAAACAAGGAGTAATTTAAAAGGTTAAAGTTGGAGGAACTATATTTAAATCAAATTAAGGGAGAAAGGGATTCTTTATATGAAATAGGTAAATTAGGAATAATTTGAATAAATAAGAAAATTGTATCTCATAATCATATTAAATTAAAAGTTAATCAGGTTTAATTAGATTTAAACTAAATAGGGAACATAAATTTTATAATAGATAAAAGGAAAAAAGGGGTTACACTTAGATTTTTGGAACAAGACTTTATTAATTTCTGGTTTATTTTCTTATATGTAATGTGGTGATAATTTGATTTCATTGTCTTCTACATACTTTATTTTATTCACTTGTTATTCCTCTAAATATATCTTACCTGTTTCCAACGCAACCAGTGTTGTCACTGTACTCTTCTTGTTGCTGGCACAGTCTCTTGAGCGATTTGATTGCTGGTCCATATATCGAAGCAGTGCCTTCCTTCACGCTCCTCTGTATCTCTTACTGGTGAGAGTGAGGGTTGTACTCTTGCCACGACATGGTTACAAGTGAAACTGCTTGGTTAACAGAAAGACACCACGAGTATTGCATAACCTGCGGCAACAGAAGTAAAAGTTAAAAGTTGCCCAATTCTGCGGGGAAACAATGGATGTGGCTAGTGGCTACCCTTGCCTGAACTCATCTCATCTTTTACCAGATCTCTGACAGTGTGGGTGTTTTACAATATGTCTGTACCTGTGAGCTGTTTAATATCCATATACCAGAACCATAGTGTGTCCGTGAATTTAGTTAGAATAATAATTAAAGTTAGAATATTATGCCCACTTGTATGGTGTCGTAGATTTTTTCCTTAAACCTAACTACCTACCAATCTTATACCCTAGCGCCCCCTACTCATCGACGTCGGCTGGGTGCTACATACTCTAACTTACTTGCTAACTAACTTACTTGTTTCCCTAAACTGACCTGCTGCGCAGCAGTAATAACAGACAGACATCAGCAAATGTCCTCTATGCTTTAATTACGGCCGGGAGATCTTTCCGAGCAGTTCTCAGGAAATCTCCCAAAAAGAAGCAATAAGCATGGCCGGTGGATCTCAGACACATTCCATTGAGAATCCCACCAGTAAAACACAAATACAACCGTTTTATAGAATAAGTAGGTGGCAAAAAATGACATGAAACATTACTTAATTTGATTGGTTCTTCATAGACAAGCCCTCTTGTTACTAGGTAACCAAACTCTGTTTTTGGTTTCGAGTTTAGACACCTGTCTAGTTTCATTTCCCATATTTGTTATTTATACACACACACACACACACTCAAAGGTGGAGACACTCTAAAACAAAGCATGTAAATGAAGCACAGGATTCATCTCATAAATTCCCCAGCCCTTATCTTGTAAGACTGAAGAAAACTGGTTGAAGCTGGAAATTAACATTTGGCTTCCCCCCTCTTCCCCGGAGACAAAAGTCTCACCTCATCTACATTTCATTCTCTCTCAGTGACGCATAAAAACTCACATAAGAATATGGTTTAATGTGAATGATTATCATTGAGTATTTTGTTTAGTATAATTTAAACTGCAGGGTGAGTGGTACAGATGTCTCATTTCCAAATTGGTAAAACAAAAGCTAATAAGGTTTTTTAGAAGTTTAGAGATGACACACAAAAGAAAGGTAGACTCTAGGCAAATGGCCTTTCTCCCCTACCCCCAAAATAAGGTGTAACCTGAATGCAAATTACCATTGAAAAGAAGTTCTGGCTATTTAATGGAATGCAGCAAGGAGTCGTGGCTTTTTCTGTATTTCAGATAGCCCGTGAGGTTAGCTCATGTAGTTCTTAAATATTTGGTTTGCATCTATTTCTCTTATCCTAAAGCATTTGATGTTTTGTATTGATGATCTTTGAACTGATTATGAAATTGGCATAATACTTTTACCTGACATAATAAATTGTTATATTTGATTATTCTAACAGACTTTGACTTCATTTCCATTGGAGTTAAAAGGAATAGTCAAACATTAACGTATATTTAATGATGCACAGATATCATTGAAAAACTTTTTCATTTTATGGAGTCAGATGAAACGAGTTAATACATAAGATAAAATGTATTGCATTTAATTGAAAATCCCTTTACTCATGGGAAGAGACGGAACACGCGTGAGACCTTCACGGCTAATTTGAATGCCGCCATTGGATCAAATTAGACGGCCTTACAATCTCATCAGCATAACGGTGTCATGTATAGATGGTAATCCAATCAGCCTGATTAATGGCTTAATGGCGAGGAGTTACATCGAGGGGGAGACACTCTAAAACAAAGCATGTAAATGAAGTATACAGGTTTAGGAACCTGCTCTTAGCCTGAGAGTGTTACCAATCCTAATCCAATCAGCATAACAATTCAAACTGAGCCAGGGGCTCCCAGAGCCAAATAAAGACAAAGAGTCTCGGTAATCTGACCAGGACTGGCAGAATCTCTTGCTCATGTATACCTCAAATGCTAAATTCAGTCAACTAGACTTTCTCAGTTTATATTGTATTGGAACCTAAATTAAACATTTTAATAAATTTGTAAAACTACACACCTGTCTAGTTTCATTTCCCATATTTGTTATTTATATAC